ATAAATAGTTGCAGAGATATTGCATCCCGTAAGAGAAACACATTGATTTAGTTTTGAGAGAATTTTTAAATCTAATAAAAAGAGTAGTTCTTATAATTTGTGTGTTCTTGCAACTCTAAATTGGTATCAGAGCCTCCAGATTTCAAAATCGTTTTACAAAAGGCGTTGTAACTTCGATCAAACATGGGAGATGATAACAATTCTCAAGCATGAGACAAGGTCTTGAGATGAAGAAGGACATACTATGTCTGATGCTAACATCAACCAACTACACCGTATGGTCAATAAGAATGAAAGTTATGCTTCATTTGTATGAAGTTTGGGATACTATCAAACTAGAGAACACTGATTTGAAGAAGAACAATATTGCGATTGCTCTAATCTTTCAGCCGATTCTGGAAACATTGATTCTTTAAATTGAAGAACACGATACATCAAAGACGATTTAGGATGTTATCAAATCTCTTAACCTAAGTGCTGATCACGTGAGAGAAGCGAGGTTACAAACCTTGATGTCTGAGTTCGATAAACTGAAGATGACAGATGCAGACATGGTAGATGATTATGCAGGAAGACTACCAGGTCTAGCATCAGAATCAGTCGTGTTAGGTAAAGTCATAGCTGAACCAAAGATGGTAAAGAAGTTTTTAGATGGATTCCTACATACAAGTTCATACACATCATAGATTCTCTAGAACATCTACTTGATCTAAATTCAACAAGCTTCGAAGAAGTTGTTGGGAGAATACAAATTTGCGAAGAGCGCATTAAAAAAGAAACCCGAGATGAAGATCATCAAAGCTAATGTTTGTGAACAATGATACATAAGGTCGTGGAAGCCATAGAAACTCGCGAAGAAGAGGCATGGGTAGGGGTTATGGTGGAAGAGGAAAATGACGTGGAAAGTCTAATGGTTTTGATGGTCATAACAAAGGAGGAGAAGTTTCGAACAAGACCAAGAAAGATTATTTTAAGGAGAAGCAAAAATATGGGACACTTCGTGTCACATTGTCCTACACGACTAAGAGAAGAAACAAACCAACCGGAAACATAAGAAGCATCTGCATTATATATGCATGAAGTAGTATTCCTCAACGAAGAGAGAGTATTTCCTAAAAGGTTTGATGAATGTGATGGAAACACGAGTATATGGTACCTTGACAATGGTGCAAGTAAAGTTCGGTGATGGATCAAATGTCGAGATTGTTGAGAAAGGTTCAATCACATTCATTGGAAAAACAGAGGAGAGTAGTCTAAAACACAACATCATAAGTCTTGGACAAGCAACCGAGAAGGGTTGTGAGGTTAATACAAAAGAAGACTTACTGATGCTAAAAAATCCTCGTGAAGGCTATTAGTACAAGTCGCAAGGTCTCCAAACCGATTGTACAAGATGCCAATGGAGATTTAATATCCGAAGTGTCTTCGAATACAAGAAAATGATGTTACATGGACGTGGCATGCGCGGCTCGGACATGTGAACTTTGGAGTCATGAAGAATATGGTAGACAAGGAGGTGGTAATAGGAATGCCTCAGGTGATACACGAGAAAGACGTTCGCAGCACTTGCTTAGTTGGGAAACAAACTCGGAAGTCCTTCCCACTTAAAGCAAAGTATCGAGCATCACACGCAATGAAGTTGGTACATTGGTGACTTTTACGGTTCGATATCATCACCAACACCAGCAAAAAAATAGATACGTATTCGTTTTAAATGATGATTACTCAAGATATATGTGGACGATGCTGCTAAGAGAGAAGAGTGAAACGTTCAATCAGTCAAAAAAGCTTGAGGAGTACGTGGAGAATCAAGAATTTTCGCACCAATAGAGGAGGAGAGTTCACATCTTCTGAGTTCATTCGTTCTTGTGAAGAAAACGGTGTAACAAGACATCTCACCGTATACGTGCAACAAAACGGTGTGGTCGAGAGAAGAAACAAAATACTAATGGAGATGAGAAGGAGCTTGATGAAAGCAATGAAGCATCAACTATGAGGTGAGGCAGTGCGTCATTCAACGTATCTCATCAACCGCATTGCTACAAAGGCTTTGGAAAACAAAACTCCATACGAAGGCTTATATGTTATGAAAACGAACATTGAGCATCCAAGGGTTCTTAAGTGTGTAGCTCGCAAAAATCAATGTTCCACATCTCAGAAAGCTCGATGATCGATCAAGGATGGTGATCAACCTCAGAACAAAGCATGTTTCAAAAGCTTATAGGCTCTATGATCTTGTCACGAAGAAGATTGTTATTAGTGTAGTTGTAATCTTCTATGAGAAGAAGAGTTGGGATTCGTCTACAACAACAATGATACAAACGATGAACCAGTAACCTTTAACCTTCCTCATATCGATGTTACAGAAGAAATAGATGGTGATGAGCATCAAGATCACCAACACCACGAAGATCAAAACAATAATGAAGAAGAAGAAGCTATAGACGAAGGTGAACAAGAGTAAGTAGTTGAGAATAACGATGCAAACCAAGACCAGCATGTAACATCGAGATATGGCCGTAACATAAAAAAAACAACAGTGGTTCGATGATTACATTCTATTCGCTGAAGTTGAAGATGGTAGACTTTTTCTCACTATCGATGGTGAACCAGAAAGTTACATCGAAACTGCAGCGATACAAGCATGGATCGATACAATGATGGTAAAGATCAAATATATTATAAAAAAAAAGACTTGGAAACTCGTCAAGAAGCCGACATGTGTGAAACCAATATGTTTGAAGTGGATCTATAAGATCAAGAGGAATACAGATGGAACGCTGATCAAATACAAAGAAAGGCTAGTCGCAAAAGGTTATATGCAACAACAAAGCATATACTTCGAAGAGGTATTTGCACTAGTGGCCCGAATATAAACCATACGTCTACTTGTGGCTTTTGGCAGCAACTAATGGATAGGAGATCAATCACTTAGATGTGAAAACTGCGTTTCTAAACGAAGATTTAAACGAGGATGTATACGTGACTTAACCAGAAGGCTTTGTGGAGAAAGGGAAAGAGAATCACGTGTACAAACTCAGCAAAGCACTATATGTTTTACATCAAGCTCCGAGAGCTTGGAAGATCAAGCTTGATCGTGTCCTCAAGGAGATGGAGTTCACGAAGTGCACCAGAGAGCCTGCAGTGTATCAAAAAAAGAGAGAAGGGAGAGCTTCTTATCATAGCCATCAACGTCGATGATTTGTTTGTAATAGAGACTTCGGTCAAAGTTATCAAACAATTCAAGGATGATATGTTAAGAAGATTTGAGATGTTAGACCTCGGGAGGCTTACATACTATCTTGGTATAGAAGTAACGCAAGGAGCTGATGGCATTCGAATCAAGCAAGGAAGATACACAAGAGGAATACTCGTCAACACTGAGATAGACTCATGCAATCTAATTCATGTTGCGATGCATAAAAGTTTAACAATATCGAAGGCAGAAGAGGACCTGAGATTGATGCAACTTCATATCGAAGTACTATAGGGTGCTTAAGGTATCTTCTTCATACTCGACCGGACTTAGCATTCTCGTTCGGTCGGTGTATTGAGTAGATATATGCAAAGTCTAAGAGAGAGTTATGGACAAGCGGTAAAACATCTGTTATGATATATAAAGGGCACCATTAAATATGGTCTCTTCTTCAAACGGGATAGAACATCAGAGATTACAGGTTACAGTGACAGTAGCCATAACATAGATGTTGATGATGGAAGAAGCACGACAGAGTTTATGTTTTACCTTGGAACATCGCCGATCACATGTACATTATGTAAACAACCACTGTGGAACTTTCTTCATGTGAGGCGGAGTTCAAGGCTGCTATGGAAGCTGCAAAACAAGCAATATGGTTACTGATGTTAATGGCCGAGATTATGAACAAAGAAGACAAGAGGGTCGTGTTGAAAATTGACAATAAATCAACTATTGCTCTCATCAAGAACCCGGTGTTTCATGGGAGAAGTAAACACATACTCTCGAAGTACCATTTCATTTGGAATGTGTAGAGTTCGACTTGATTGAAATTACATATGTACCTGGAGTGGAGCAGAAGGCAAACATGCTCACAAAATTATTGGCAAGAATCTAGTTCAACGAAATGCGCAAATTCATCGGAGTTCAAGAGATTAACAAGCTCAAAATTCAAATTGAAATTAAGGGAGAGAATGTTAGATAATTCCAACTAATTTGAAGAGCAAGTTAACTCATTAAAGTGAAGTTTAATGGATTAAGGAAAAAGAAAAACATATCGAGCTTATGAATGTTTCCATAATTCTATTAGGTTAAGAAGTAGTTTCGACATATATAGATAGTTGCAAAGATGTTATATCCTTAAAAGAAACACATTAATTTAGTTTTAAGATCATTTCTAAATCTAATTAAAAGATTTTTTTTTTTATTTTTCTTTTGTTGCAATTTTAAGATAATAGTGAAGGTATACTATATATATGAATGGTATCTAGAAATTGCAATAATCACATGTAGCTATAGATTTTTATAAACTCTGTTAAAAAAAAACAAAAAGTAATCTTTAAAACACAAAACATCTTTTTGAGTATAAAAACAAACCGCCAATTTAGTGATTAGCCTCTCTCGTTCACGATGATATTCCTCTTTTTTCAAAACGCTGGAATTCCTATTCAATACTATCATCTCAAGTGGCCCAAAGACGACAAAAGATATACACAAATTTCTTTTGAGTAACTAAAATTTTAAAAATAAAAATCACGAATGAGTTTTTTCCAAAACTCGTGGTGGACACTAATAACAAAAAAAAAAATTCAAATAATTCTGAAAAGCGAGGTCCATACCCGGGGAAAAGAAGCAGTTCAGAGAGAGATAAATACATAATTACCCCTGAAACAACAATAGGATTTCCCGCGCAATGGGGAACCAAGAACGAGGGTTTTAGGTGACGTCAGATTGGAAAAACAATCGGACGGCTAGCGAAGACGCCGCTTGTCTTTTTGTAGGGCCTACTTGTCTTTTAACATCACCTCTCTGTCCTCCATTAAAACTCAATTCTCTCCTTAAAACTCGAAACATTTCGTTTCCTTTCTCTCATTCTATCATCTTATTAAAAAAAAAAACAAAACATGCATTCAGTTCCAGTGATTCTCACTCTCACTGTACTTACAGTGCTTTTAACATCAACGGTGCAAGTCATCGGATGGCGTCCATATCCTCCTAAAACCAACGGCTCCGATAAAATCTTCGACGCTTCAAAGAAATACGAAGGGTCATCCAATCTCGTCCGCCTCCGTTACCACATGGGCCCAGTCCTCACCAACAACATCACCGTCCATCCAATCTGGTACGGCACGTGGCAAAAATCCCAGAAGAAAATAATCCGCGAGTTCATTAACTCAATCTCAGCCGTCGGATCCAAACACCCTTCCGTCTCCGGTTGGTGGAAAACCGTCCAGCTCTACACTGACCAAACCGGATCTAACATAACCGCCACGGTTCGTTTAGGCGAAGAGAAAAACGATCGGTTCTACTCACACGGCAAATCCTTAACCCGGTTATCGATTCAGTCGGTGATAAAATCCGCCGTCGCTTCAAGATCTCGGCCGTTGCCGGTGAATCCCAAAGGCGGTCTCTATCTCCTCCTCACCTCCGACGACGTCTACGTTCAAGATTTCTGCGGCCAGGTGTGCGGATTTCACTACTTCACGTTCCCTTCCATTGTTGGATTCACGTTGCCGTACGCTTGGGTTGGTAACTCGGCGAAGTTTTGTCCCGGAGTTTGTGCTTATCCCTTCGCCGTACCGGCGTTTATCCCGGGTATTAAACCGGTGAAGTCTCCCAACGGTGACGTTGGTGTGGATGGGATGATAAGTGTGATTGCTCACGAGATTGCTGAGCTGGCGACGAATCCGTTGGTTAACGCTTGGTACGCAGGAGCTGACCCCGTGGCTCCGGTTGAGATAGCGGATCTTTGCGAGGGTATTTATGGAACTGGAGGTGGTGGTTCGTACACAGGACAGATGTTGAACGATGATCGTGGTGCCACGTATAATGTTAACGGGATCCGACGGCGGTATTTGATCCAGTGGTTGTGGAACCACGTGGTTAGTTACTGTACCGGACCCAATAAGCTTGACTAGTGAGTGATTGGTTTAGTTTGCTGTTTCCGTTTTTATTTTGTATCTCAAGGGATCTTTCCGAGTTGAGTTCGATGGATGAATGTGGCTTTTGTGTAATGCATGATTAAGTTAGTTAATGATAGTTTAAGTTTGTTGATTATGTGGAAAATGGCAATTATGTTATTATGTTTACATATATAAGATATGATTCGTATTGGCTTATCTTTCTTGGCTTCTTTTGTGTACTGTTATTTTCAAAAGGCTGTCAATGATACTCGATCGTTCTTTTTTATTTGGAACTCTAATAACTTGACTATAGTATTGATTTTTCAGAAGTTTTAGACAAAACTTATGCCTATGATTGGAGGTTTACTTATAAGTGTTGATTGTAATTACAAACACCTGATTACACATTAACAATGAATTTGGATAGAGTTTTCAAAATGTGCTTTGATCAAGTCGGTTAGTGTATTTTTACATTCTTCAAAGTGTAGGAAGCTTATGTTCATCATGTTTGATCTTAAAAACCGATTGACAATTTCAGATCAGGCTTCTCTTTAATATTTATCTATTGGTTTTAAGTGAATATACCTATTTAAATTATTCATGTGTCACGAAAATATGACTCATATTTCTAACATAGCTGGCCATATCCAACAATCCCAAGAGCTTGGACCGCTTTTTTTCCCATTCCGTTCCAAGAGGTGGAGCCGAAACGGAGATATGTATGTGTTAAGGTCAAATATCCCTACTACGAATGAATTGGTAGTGGGAGATATTAAAAGAGAGATATTTCTCAAAATATAACATTGAATAAAAGTGTAAGATAAAGAATTCAGAAGACTATTACACAAAAACAAAATTCAGAAGACAAGAGCATAAATCATGAAATGTACAGAGATATTTTAGAGGAGTGAAGGGTAGGTGGTGAAAGATCCAAACCTAACATAATTGTCCTTTTAATATTTTTCTCTTGGACTTTTCTTTCATGGCAAATTATTTACCCTGATTTGAGGCAATATTATTCCCATTTATGTTTTGTTTTTCAATCTGGCAATCTTTTTTACCTTTTTCACTTGGGTAATCTTGTTTATCTTTTCATTGTTTACTTTCGCTTTAATCTTGTTTACTTTTGGTTCACTTATGCAATCTTGTTTACCTTTTGTTTTCACTTAGGCAGTCCTGTATCAGAGGGGTCATTTTCATTGAACATTAGAATGGTACAAAGAAAAACGGTTACACTTTAAAGAGTAGAAGCACCAAAGAATTTTTCAGCGTATAATATTTTTACCAGTATTAGAAGACTTTAATGAATATCAAACTGCCCAAATTCTAGTTATGATAATTGTCCAAGTATACATATACGTAAGTATATATATACAAGGGAGTATATATGGTCGATTCCTGTGTTGTTTTTATTTGTGTTTAGGTCGTGTGTTGTGTACATGAAACTAGGGGTGGATCTAGAAGAATATTTAATCGGAGATGTTTTAATGGGATTTAGATTTCTATAGAGTTTGTTGATTCTAATAGTTGAGAGATTCATTAAATGTGGAAAGAATGTAGAAAATTTTGTATATTATGGAAAATCTATGAAAATAAAATATTATTTTTAAAATCTTGTTTTGTGAGTTAACATGTTAAGGATATAATTCTCAATAACACTTACTTTAATAGATTTTTAGAATCATTAAAATCTAAATTTTTTGGATAACAAAATTTTTTGTATAGAATTATAAAATCATCAAACTAATAACACTAAACTTTAATGAGAATATAGAAATTAGTATATCAATAACACTAAACTTAGAAAATTCTAATAATTCTTATACATTCAATTTCCACTGACAACAGGTACCGTACCTGAGGTACGTGACTTTGTACATCTTCACTACATTTGCCCATGTATGAAACATGAGTGCAAATATGTATGAATGTTTAGTTGTGTACATGAAATCAGAGGTGGATCTGGAACATTATATAGCAATAGGGAGCTTTTAAATTTTCACAATAATTTATAATGGATCAATAGGGCCTGATCCTTCTTCAGTTTTAAACAAAGGCAGAAGAGATACAGAGGATATCGTTGATGATTCCAATAATCTCTTTTGTCTGTTGCTTGTGATTGATTGCTCTGATGAGCATTAGATTGTCAGAGCACACCCTGAGCGAGGAGATTCCAAGGTTTGCTGCCATGTAGAGGCTCGAACCAACTGTGACTGCTTCTGCAATAAGAGGAGAGCTCACATGTTCATGAATCAAGGATCCCTGTCTGGAATCTGGAGTATTGATTCTTGAGAAGGTCCATGCAAGTCCCGCTGTTTTGGTGTCGTTGTTCCAAGCTGCATCGGTCTTACATATGATAATCTCTGGGGATATAGTATTTTCGTTTCAACAGCCATAATACTTCACCACTATCTGAGATTTTTTGGTCTGATTGTTTTGTACTTGAATCCATTCTTTTGCCGATTTGAAACCTAACAGAGCTGTTTCTGCAGTAGAAGTTAATTGATCTTAAAAAATCAGGAGGCTGTGTGCTTTCCAGAGAAACTAGCATATCCATGGAAGGATCGGAAAGGAGATTCCAGATGGGGGAAGGAAAATTGCTTTCCGGAATCGAATTAATATATCTTTGAATTCATTCCCACAGCTATGTGAATTGTATGTAGTAGAGGTATGTGTTCCCACACTTCAATTGCAAAAGGACAGCGGAAAAGAATATGTGATGGTGTTTCAATTTCCTTGCATCTGGGACAGGTTGCCTCCGGACCAATTCCTCAGCGTTGTAGGTTGCTTCCAAGGGGTAACGCGTTTTGCGCCACAGCCTAGAGTTAGCTCTTGTCCACACATTCTTAATCCAGTTGAAAAAGTTAGCCATCGTGACTGAAGGATCTCTTCTTTCATTGCAGCTGCATAGTACCCTGATTGTGTGGAGTATGTTCCAGACTGGAGTGGTTGTTAGATGTAAGAGTCCTCGGTTCCTTCTTTGCTTGGTTGGATACATTTAATTTATGAGACCAGATCGAGTAAAAGCTCTCTATTCTGACTTTATTCCACCTTAGTTAATAGGTCTGATACCTTAAGGTCTAGAACTCCTTCATGAACATGATCATATGGCTTGATGTCTTCATTCCGTTTCCTATTGCTCTCCCTAGTCATGATTTTAGAAGGTCCTTACCGTGTAGTATTCCCCTCCAACCATGAGAAGATACTAGTGGACCTGATGCGTCTAGGAAACTTGTGTTGTGGCAGGGGCATGTGACCCTGTACAACCTTAAATTCTTAAGGAAATGGAAAAGGAGACGGGGACACATGACCATGTACATCCTTACTACGTTCGCCACTGCATGAAACATGAATGTAAATACGTGTGTAATGCTTATTCTCACTTGATGGATATGTTGATGGTAAAAAGGTTTCAGGAAATTTAAAGAAAGATATCAAAGTAGCTTTATATATTGATACGTAGATGGAATAAGAACTTATTTAGTAATTCCAGAGAACATAAGAGGATCAAAATGCATATTTTTATATATTTTTTTAAATATATTTGATCATAGAATCAATGGTTGATCGGTCCATTGGCTGACACAAGATGAAAAAATAAATTCTAACAAAGGCTATATAGCCTTAGCATTGCCAACATATGTTATCTCCAGTTGGAGATTTGTAAAAACTTAACAAATGCCATTACTTATTTTTGGTAGAGTTCGAATCCACCAAAAAGAGGGATGTAATGAACGAAGTGAGAAAAAAGTTTATTGCCCAAAAAATAACGAAGGTATCCAATTCAAATTAGTTCATGAGTTTAATCTAGCTTTATTGGCAAAAGTAATTTTGGTGATTAATTCAATTTTCCAATTCTCTTCTTGCTAGAGTGGTACGTGGAAACTATTAAGGCCTAAACCCGTCTTTGTGATCAAGAAATACATAATCTCTTTATTATGTATGGGCGAATTGGTGTCAATTAGAAAGTGCACTCAAGAGACCATATATGTGTTTGGGAGGATTCTTGGGTTTATTCAATCCCTTCTAGACCAGCTCGGTCAATTGTTTTAGTAGTCCATTAACGAATGAAAATAAGGGAATTTATTCATGGTTCTACAAGACAATGGAAGGTTGAAATGCTGGAAAATTTCCTTGTTCAGGAGGACATACCTCTCATTTGGAGTTTGGTCATAATCTGATCCAATAAAAAGGATGAGTACAAATGGAGACAAAAATAGGATCTACATAGTAAATCTGAATAATGGGTATCAAGGAATATTCTCTATCGAGAACATGATGTTATGGTTTGAGAGTCAGTGCCACTAAGTTAAATCTTTTTCCTGGAAAAATCAATGCTCTGCTGAAAAATGCAACATCTAATATGGCAGTTGGTTTCTGCATATTTAGCTGGTACGAGGAATTTAACACAACGCCATATGCATTGTGACAACCACTGTCATAGATGTGGAGAACCCAATGAATAAGTAAATCATGTCATTTTTGAATGTCCACCTACCTTTCAAATTTGGACACTCGTCTCGACACCATCGTGTTCAAGTATTTTTCCAATAACGAGTGTGTATCCCAACTTGTATTATTTGTTGTGGAGGAAGAAATACACTGAAGATCTATAACTAGATAAAGACCTTATCCATGGATTATTTGGTATCTAGGGACAACTCGTAATGATAAGCTGTAAAGAAGAATTACACGTGATCCACTTGAGTTATTAGACACCTGCTAAGTGAATGCAATGCATGGTTTGACGCGGATTCAAAGATTTCAGAAGATACTCAAACAATACACCAAAAAAAACATACAAGTCTTAAGCTTGCAAAATATTTGTTTCGTCGATGTATCATGGACTTTAGAATCACTGCACAGTGGATATGATTGAGTATGACTGGATAGATCTAGGAATGAATAACTCTTAGGGTTGAGAAACAAAGAAAATCGTATGCCTTCTTTACAGTCAGAATTGAAAACGCTGATTTGGTCTATATAGAGAACATGATTAAACACACAAATTGTCAACATTTTAAGAAAAAATACAAGGATCTTATTTCGATGATCTAGGACCCAAAGCATGACCAATTTTCTCCACAAAGCTAGGTGAGTAGCATCGCTTCAACGAATATTTCAAGACTTTAAAGTCATTCACATACTAATGGCAGAATCAAATATCAAATGGTTTAGCTAGGATAATTCATAGTTTTCGTCACAATTTAGTTTTTGTTGGTTGTTCTATTATGGTCTGAACTTCCATACCGCCTTTAGTTTGAATAATAAA